CTATGAAAAAAAAAAGCGTCAGTCTTTGACGCTTTCTCACTAACGACAACGACCGTCGTTGAAGGTCGTTGCAGATGATATGCTGCGGGTTGGGCACACCATCGACCGTGCGACGACCCTGCACCGACCTCGTTGACCACACTCCACGGATGACAATGTCCCCACTGCCGGCTATGCGAAGGGAACGTCCGACCGCTTACCCAACAAGCTCGGACATCAGGCGACGGAGTCCGTGAGATGGGGACATGGGGGGTGAAAGGAGCGACAGCAGTGCAGATCGCAGACGRAGATGAAGGGCGAAGCCGTTGCCAGCATGAAGAGGATGGCGTTGCAGTGATCGACAGTGCTTCGCAAATCGGGGAGCGTATAGACTGGGAGAAAGGCAGTGGAGAGTGAACACTCCGCATGAAAGGGCGGAGCAAAAATGTCTGTCTCCACAACTTGCAACCCCCTTTCATAGCCCGTGAGGTCGACGTCCACATCATCAAAAGCTTGTCGAAGGAGATGATCCGTGCTCAGCCGAAGGGCAATGCAAGGAACTTCACATGCACACGATTTTTGAAATGGTGGTGTGCGATACCGTTTGTCTATTTCGAAATGGATGCCTTCGGTCGACCGTTATACCTTGTGGCCGACGTGGGGCACCAAAGTTCCGCCAGCGCCCCGACATTTCGTACCGGTTCCGTCCCGGGCCTGTACCATGGGCCGCAAAGCTGTGTGACACATTTGAAAACAGGGTCGTGTCCAGACGGTCTTCGACTGGACCGACGGACGGAGACGTTTGTCCGCCCGCCGTTGGCGGCGGAAGGGATGCCTCGACCACGACCTTCCCGTTTGGCCGATGCGAGCGGCACGCAGGGGGAAAACTGACAGGACCCTGGGCCGCGATGTATGTAGAAACGGCCCAACCAAAGTTTCCAACCCGCCTCCACCGGCCTTGTGGGGTCTCGCAAAACCTTTCCGGACCCTTTCCAGACCTTTGCCGCAAAGCTGTGGGGTCCACCTCTTAGGCTCATGTGAACTGGTGTTTTTTTTTTTTGAATGAAAAAGCCCAGGTTGTTGTAGAAGCGGGACTCCGGACACACGGGGTTACTGCCACAGCTATTGGCTTGTCCTGACACTCCCTTATGCTTCGTAAGACCACCTCGCTACCCATCCTCTGCGCAATTCTCCTAGCGCACCCCTATCCCTACTATCCTACCTCAGTATCGAGTACTCTGGACTATCACCATGCTATTTCAGAGGGCGACTTGGAACAGACAGTTGTTCTAGGGACGGGGCTAGGCAGGGCCAAGCACAAAGCCTTGAAAGCCCCTCCCAGGCCCAGTTGAGGCACAGTCAAGCAAGCCACATTACTTGGGTACATCGGGTGCCAGGTTCAAGCATTATGTCTACTTCAACTACCAACCCCCATTCTGGCATGTTTTTCCTCCTTTTTTGTACAGATGTCAGATACCGAGGCTGGACAACGCCAAGCGCGAAGCCTTGGTTTAAATCCCATTCGAGAGTGCCCTTCGCCACACTCTGCTCTTGAACTGGATGCTCTAGAATTCTGGCATGCACAGAGGGCACTTTGCGTGAGTCCAGTGTTACAAATTATGACATGGGACTACTTGTGCGCCCCGGCTGCCCCTCGAACTTCTGGCGGAAACTATTGGCCCCTCGGAGATCTCCCAATCCGGTCGAGTTGCATGTAGGTGCCCTGTTGAAGTTCACGTACTCTCGAACTGCGCATCTCGGCCATGCCTGCCCTCTCCAATTCCATGGATTCCGAGTGGTGTGGCGAGCCCCAGAAAGACCTGAGTTCGAACCCCATGATGGAAATGACTGAAATACGGCACTAGGGTAGTCTGGTGTCCCTCCACAAAATCCTTCTCCTGCTTTACCAAGAGACATTCAAATAAACCTACCAAATCAAGAATTGACCTTATCCTGGTCTCGGAAGACCTTCAAGGTGGTCTCCAATTTGCTACCGTCCTCCCTAGAAGTCCTTTTCCTGGCCTAGATCACGCAATGTGCATGGCGGTTTTCTCCTTCCGGAAAAAAAAACAGATCAAGGCAAAGGGTTCTACAAACTCAACGTCTCTCACCTCAAGGATCAGGATTTTCAACAATACATTAAAGACGTGTGAGAATTTTGGAAAAAGAAAAAACCCATCATTCAAAATGACATCACATGGTTCAACAACGGCCTGGTTTTTCTAGGACGTAAATGCAATGAATATTCAAGAGCCCTTGCAAAACTAAGACATCAAAAGGAAATAGAAATCCAAGAAAGAATTCAAGAACTACAGAAAACAGAATTAACCCCACAAAACCAGGATGATCTAGCAACAATTTCAATAGAGATCCAGTCTCTGGAAGATCAACTACTCAAATGCATGGAGTATCGATGGCAGGGCATCAGAATCCGAGGCAAACTAAGGAAACACCAAATGGAAGGTGATATGGATGCCCATTTCTTTGTCATGGCCAGAGTCAGATCCGGTAGAAATACAATAGAAGCACTAATCAACCCATTCAATAGAAATGAACCATTAGCCATCTTCACCGCGGCCAGTATGAAACTAGCAAGGGACTTTTATAAGGACCTCTTCACGTCTAAAAACTCAATGATCCCCAAAGCAGAAAAAGAAGAACAAACCAAGGAATTCGTACTGCCCTTCAACAAATCTATCACGGAAGAACAAAAGTAGTTGCTAGATAAGCCTCTAACGAAAGAAGAAATTTGGAACGCCCTAATCTTAATGGACGAAGAGAAGACACCAGGCATAGACGGTCTCCCAAAAGAATTCTGGAATCAATAAGGGGCACTTTCTCACAAGACCTAATGAATTTTTACCAAGTGGTCTGGGAGGCAGGAGATATGGGAGAAATAGTTAGTCAATGAGTTCTCACTCTTCTTTATAAAAAAGAGGATAAAATGAATATTCGTAACTATTGCCCCATCACACTTCTTACGGTAGTATACAAACTGGTCGCTAAAGCACTGATAGACAGAATCCTAAGAGTCATAGCAGATATCATCCACCCTTCACAAACAGGTTTCATCACACATTCAAGATAATATTCTCCTATTTAATGAAATCATTAAAATTACACGCCAGTCAAAGTCTAATGCGGCTTTTATCTTTATTGATTTTGAAAAAGCCTATGACCATGTTGATTGGCTGTTTCTAGATAAGTGTTTGGAGAAAATGAACTTTGGCCAATGTTTTAGAAGATGGATCTCCATTATGCATCAAAACGCTACGACAAGTGTTATGATAAATGACAGTATAGCCCCACCAATAGATCTCCAGAGGTCAGTCGGACAGGGTGACCCCCTGACTCCTTTCCTCTTCATAATTATAATGGAGGCTTTAGCGGCCAATCTTAAGCATCATAAGGACATTCGAAAGATTCAAGTGTCATCCATTCCAGAAGAAGCTATCCCCATTTGCTCCCTCTTTGCAGACGATCTGTCCTTAATGATTGATGCAACACAGGAGAACTTGGCGGCAATACAAGACTTAATGAATAGATTTTGTAAATTAGCAGATATGAAGGTCAATTGGGGAGCGGGACGCTAGGTTTGTGGATTCATCATCAGGGTGTTAGACCCCCAGAAGAGCCAAAAATCAAATGGTTACCTCCAGAAGAGTCAATAAGAGTGTTAGGTATCTCGTTAGCGGTAGACGAAAAACCCAAAATAAATGATGAGGCAATATTTCAAAGCGCCCAGTCCAAATAGGACCCATGGAAAAACAAACACACATCCATAATGGGCAGGGCCTTAGTAATCAACAATGTAATCCTAGC